GAAATATATCTCCTCCTGTAGCTCCAGTCTATCTACTTCATCATTGCTCCTCTGGAACCTTACACACAATTCCATTTAACAAGGGCACTCAGACATTTTTTCAGTGCTTATGGCAAACAAGGCCCCAGGTCTTTCATCTGAGGACCAGCTGAGCTAAATATGGAGAGGCAAATCCCTGGAAGGTTGGCTACCAGAACTGTTAAGGCATGATGTCTTAAATGAAATCCTAGAAATGCCAAATGGAATTATGCTCTGCCCTGGGAATACAAAGGTATAGACCACACAGATTCAGCTCTCAAGACGGTGACAATCTAAGGGGCATAGAATGGAGATGTACACGGTAACTATGACGGGGTGGGGGGGGTGAAGGGAGACTGTGACAGCTGCAAAGGAGAGTTTGGGGGAAAATGTCATGAGAAATTTAAGGAAGGGAAAGATCCATAGCAATTGGGTTATAGAGTAGACCAGCACTTTATGTGTGATTAATAAAAATTGAAGAGATTCAGAGGGAGGTGGGACCAGGGAATTCAATTCCATTCAATGTACATTTATTAAGCACCTATTGTGTTCAAGGCAAGAGGCAGCATGGCATATGAGTAGAGAACTGGCCTGGATTCTAGGAAGGCCTAGGCTCATCTCTGTAGCATCTCTGAAACATACTTGTGTAACTGTGCAAATAATAATAATAACTCGTTGTTGTTCAGTTGTGTCCGACTCTTTGTGATCCCTATTTGGCGTTTTCTTGGCAAAGATACTGGAGTGGTTTGCCATTTCTTTCTCCAGCTCATTTTACAGATGAGGAAACTGAGGCCAACAGGGTTAAATGACTTGCTTAGGGTCATCCAGCTAGAACATGTCTGAGGCCAGGTCTTCCTGACTCTAGGCCCAGCACTCTGTCCATTGAGTCACCTAGCTGCCCTGCAATAATAATAGCTAGCATTTTATTTATATGGTACCTACTATGTGCCAGGCACTGCACTAAGTGTCATTTGATCCTCACAACAACCATACAAGGTAAGTGCTTTTATGATCCCCATTTTATATTGGAGGAAACTGAAGCAAACAGAGGTGAAGTGACTTAACTAAGGTTACACAGCTAGTGTCTGAGGCTAAATTTGAACTCGGGTCTTCCTGACTCCAGGGCCAGTGCTCTATCCAATGTACAGATCACTTAACTCTCAGTACCCCCAGGCAAGGCTCTGAGCAGACATCAATCTACACTGGAAGAGGAACTTTCCTCAGCAGGAAGTCCAACATCTGGTCTAAAATAAATGTAATAGGAGATTGACCAAGGGAGGCCTGGGCCTTACAGCATGCACAGTGTTCCCTGCCTTCCGCCAGTACAACACGTGGGAAGGCTCGGGAGAGTTTTTTAATTGACCTCAGAGCTGAAAGGCTTGATGGGAAGGTGGAAGGATTAAACTCAATTTGGATACAGGAGGATCCATACCTTCCAAAACTCCACCCTTTTTGTTTTTCTCTCCCCCGATGGTTTTCAAGTGAGGAGAGTCGCGGCTGGGAGAAGGCAAAGGCCCTGTCTCCAACCCGATAGCCATGGGACCCTGAGCACATGGTGCCTGTTTCTTTCTTTCTTCTTCCCTGATCTCAGATAAATGGTATCCAGTGACAGAGCAGACCAGCTTGTGCCTTTGTGATCTTTGAAAGGTTATATAAGGATCAGAGGTCCCCTCAGCAACCTGAGTCAGTACCTGAGACCTCTTGAGTCAGGAGCAGCAGTGGCTAAGTCTAGTGAAGAACCAACCTGCTTGACCCAACGCAGCTGTGGATTGACCAACAGCGGCCAACACACTGTAGCTGAGCAGAAGTGAATGGGGTGGGGACTCTGTGAAGAGAGGGTCCAGTAGCCCTCAGCCCCAAATGTTCCTCAGTGCCGTCCCACTTTGAGCCTACTCTCCCCAGAGGTTGAATGTGTGCAGAGGGTTGCCTCTGGTTTGGGGGGTTTTCCTCTATGCTTTATCTCCTCAGTAAATAGCCTTTTGTAAAAGCTAATTGATATCAATTGATTAATTGATATTGGGGGTGAGAGGTACTCTGGATGGAGGCTAATGAATCACAGCACTAGATATCACAATTCCTAGAAACTCGAAAGGGAGAAGAGATCAATTGTCCTCTGGGGACCCAGCCCACTTATATGACTCAGGGTTCAGAGAATAAGCCCTGAAGGGAATGCCATACACAAAAACATTTTTAATGTGGTTTAGCCGACCAGTGCTCAGTATTAAATGAGATAACGTGTGTAAAGCACTTTGCAAACCTCAGACTGTCAACTCCTTGAGGGCAGACGTGTCTTTTGCCTCTTTTTGTATCCCCAGCACTTAGCACAGTGACTGGCACATAGTAGGAGCTTAATAAATGTTTATTGACTGTTGGCTGGAAGCACTTTATAAATGCTAGATATCATCATCATCATCATCATTAGCTCATATTATCATAGAGTTTTAAGATTCAAAGAAAGTACTTTCCTCACAGTTACCCAGGGAGCTAGGGAGGCCAAGTATTATTATCTCAGTTTTACATGAAAGAAGACTAAGGCTCACCAAAGTTAAGTGATTGCACGAAGTCACATTTTTAGCAAATGCCAGAATTGGACCTTGAACCCTGACCCCTCAACTCTAGGTCTAGAACAGAGGAAGGGAGTTAGGGAGAGACACTCAGGAGCTCACAGAACATCCCCACTCATAGACAGATCCATTCCTACACCAGAAAGGAAGTTTCAGGCCCAGTTTTGGGGGATAGGGTGGGAGGGGGAGTCTGAGGAGTCTTGGTTGACTAGGGGAGGAGGAAGGAGGTTATGAAGAATTTGGGCTAATTCTGTCCAAGTTGCTTCTTTCCCAAGCAGCAGGCAGCCCCCTCAGGCCCAAGACCTTCTATGCTCACTTCCTGTTGCTTTCTTCCCCCCACTCCTGAGTCTCAGTTCTTGTTGCTCCAGAGCCCAGTCACAAATGAAGCCCACAGGCCTTGAAAAATCCGCCCAGATCCTTTCCAGGTCAAGTCAACCCAAATGAGTGGAGGTGGGGAGATTTTGCTTCTGTTTTTAGATTTGTTGCACAAGGCATATGAAAATGATGATATTGAAAGTAAATCCAGGGGCCTCGTGGGCTATGGAGCTAGTCACCTAATCCAAGGGTCCTTTCACTTTATGGGGCAAATGCACAGACACTGGATAGGATGGGGTGTGTAGACCCCAGGGAGGTGGGCCCCTTTGGCAGAAGTGAAGAACATAAATCTACTCCACCTCTAAGTATCTGCCAAGACCCTTCCCCCTCTGAGCCCTGGGGCCACAGTGGCCACTCCACTGAGTTTCCTTCATCCTGGGCCATCCCCTTCACGAAACCACAGAGTGTCAGCCTGAAGTGAGCACACAATACTAGTAGGGACTTTAAACAGAGAATGTTGGAGTCAAGAGGGAGCCTAGAGCATGGAATATTAGAGCTGTAAGGGGTCTGAGGCATAGAAGAGGTCTAAAGCATAGAAAATGAGAGCTAGAAGAAACCTTAGAACATGGAACATCAATGCTGAAAAGGACCTCAGATCAGGTCAAAAGCAGGAGGGCCCTAAGAACATAGAATGTCAGAGCTGGGAGGGCCCTTAGAACACAGAATGTCAGATCTGGGAAGGAATTTAGAACATAAAATGTCTGAGCTGAATGAGATTAGCCCTCTCATTTCATGAAGGAAGGGACTGAGGCCCACAGGGGAAAGTAATCTTGACCAAGGTCAGGCAAGCATTTAGTTGCAGAAATGAAACTGGAACTCAGGTTGCCTGGCAGTCAAGTCAACAAGCGTTTACCATTTGTCATGCCAGGGTTCTCCCTTTTCCACCAAAACCCTCCATCGATTGATAATTGGGCTGGTAATCAAAATATCCAGGTTCTTGAACCAGCACTACCATTAACTTGCTGTGTGACCTTGGGCAATGGGCTGCCCTTTTCCAGACTTCACTTTCTCCCTCTATTACTTGAGATGCTCGGACAAATGATCTCAAAAGGCCTTCCCAGCTCTGACATTCTGTGTTCAAAGGGCCCTCCCAGCTCTGACATTCTGTGTTCTAAGGGCCCTCCCAGCCCTGACATTATCTGTTCTAAGGACCCTCCCAGCTCTGCCAATTCTCTGTTCTAAAGGCCTTCACAGCTCTAACATTCTCTGTTCTAAGGACCCTCTCAGCTATAACATTCTGTGTTCTAAAGTCCCTCCTAGCTCTGACATTCTGTGTTCTGAGGCCCCTCCCAGCTCTGACCTTCTCTGTTCTAAAGCCTTTCCCAGGGCATCTAGGTGGCACAGTGGATAGAGTTCTGACCTTGGAGTCAGGAGGACCTGAGTTCAAATCTGGCCTCAGACAATTGACACTTACTAGCTGTGTGACCCTGGGCAAGTCACAACCCCAATCGCCTCTCCAAAAAAAAAAAAAAAAAAAAAAAAGAAAAAAAATAGCCTTTCCCAGCTCTGACATTCTATGTTGAGGTCCCTCCCTGCTCTGAAATTCTGTGTCTTAAGTTCCTCCCAGCTCTGACCTCTGTTCTAAAGCCATTCCCAGCTCTGACGTTCTATATTTTAAGTTCCCTTCCAGTTCCGACAGCATATGTTACAGAGTTCTAAGGATATTCTTGGGTCCCTCCCAGCCTAGAATACATTCTGTATTCCAAAGTCCCCTAGCATTTTGGAGAGAGCGCTGGATTTGGAGTCAAGAACATCTGAACTGTCATCCTGCCTCAGATTCTCACCAGCAGGGTGAGCCTGGCCAAATCACCACCTCTTTTGGCCCCAGTTTTCTCATCTGTAAAATGGAGATAGTGATGGACTGTACTCCCAAGGTCTCCCTGTGAGGGTCCAAGATCACCCATGTAAAGAGCTTTGCAAACCTTAGAGGACCGCACACACAATCATGATGACAATCTCCTACAGTCCCTCTAGGAGTCTGGGATACACCGAGGTCTGTGCCCCTCCCACATGCTCATGCCCCTCCCTCAGCTATATCTACCTCTATCTCTCTTCTTAAGCAAAAGCTTCTCACAGATCCAGCCTGGAGGAGCAGCGCCTGCCTAGGCACCGAAGCTCAGAGATGAAGGCTTTCTTCCTCCTCCTCCTTTTCTGCCTTGGGGCCCTGATCGAGATCGAGGTAAGAGCAGCCCTTGTCCTGTCAGATCCAAGGTGCTCAGCAACTCTGATTTCTAGCTGCCGTGGAGTCGTTCCTGAGAAAGGGCACTAGCCCCCAAATCCTTCTACTGCCTGGCATCTGAAGACGCACCCCCACCCCTCTCGGTCAGTTAATGCCCTCTCAGTTCACGATAGGATGAAATCAGTTAGACAGGAGCCCCAGGCGGCGAGGCTATCCCATGCCTCCCTGCTGACCATGCGAGGTGGGCGTCTGATTATAACACCAAGGGCTGAGCTGAGTATCCTATGAGATTGGGAAGACAGATTCTGAAAGAGGCGCTCTAAAGAAAGATCCCACGTTGGAAAGAGGCCAGATAGATCCGGGTTCGCCAACCGTTTGCCCTTAGATTTCCTCCCGGGCAAGATGCTATGACTCTGTTATGGAGAAGCTACCAATCTGCATGGGGAGAGGGAATTTCTTCATCGGGGAGTTCCCAGTGCCAATTAATCACGGCTCTAGTCTCTGATCCTTCCTCTCTGTCAGGATGGCACTCCTGAAAGGGTCGGGGTAGCTCTCCTTCCTGTTGCCCCACCTCTGCCTGGGATGCTAGCCCTGGACTAGCTCAGCCATGCAACAGGCCATTTCCCCTTTCTAGTGCCTCGTGGTAAAATGTAAAAGCCACTTCCAGCTATTCATTCTATATTCCAACATCAAAGGATGTTATCTTTTGGTTGGATCAGGCGTTCTTAACCTTTTCTGTATTACGGACCCCTTTGGCAGTCTGGTGAAGCCTGAGCCCCTTCTCAGAATAAGGCTTTTAAATAACTGAAGAAAACATTCCATTTCAGCTAGAGGACAGTAAAAATAAGGATGTCACTTATTTTCTTCAGCCTAGTTCCAGACCCCTGAAATCTATCCCCAGCCCCCTGGGAGTCCAGTAGGGAATGGTGCATCCCAGACTAAGAAGCCCTGGACTGGGCCAGTGTGATGGTCCACGTTTGTAATCCTTGCTGGGGCAGGGGGAAGGCTAAGGGTGGTGGACCTCTGCAGTTTGGGAGTTCTGAGCTGCAGGAGGGTCAAAGACAATCCAGTGAAGCAGGGCACTAATATGGAGAGCCCTTGGAATGAAGGTTCACCAGGCTGCTTAAGGAGGGACAGGTTAAAGTTTCCAGACTGAACAGCTTTGGAATAGTGCTGAGTAGCAGCTTCAGTTCTGGGCTGGGTAAGACAGGGAGACCCAGTCTTCTCCCCTGCTCCCCCCCCCCAAAAAAAGAACTGGGTTAGATTGAACCAAAGGGGGATTCCTCTCTTCATTCCCACTTGGGAACCAGGCTACAGTCCCCACAGTTGGCTAAACTGTGTCTTGGGTTGGGTCATTTTGCTCCTCATTTCTATGACCTAGAAGTGGTTGTTGAGTTGTTTTTAAGTCACATCTGACTCTTTGTGACCCCATTTGGGGTTTTCTTGGCAAAGATACTGGAGTGGTTTGTCATTGCCTTCTCCACCTCATTTTACAGAAGAGGAAACTGAGGCATATAGAGTTAAGTGACTTGCCTAGGATCACACAGCTAGTCAGTGTCTGAGGCCAGATTTGAACTCAAAAAGAAGAGTCTTCCTGACCTCAGGCCCCACCCTCTATCCAATGTGCCATACTTACATGCATACTCCATCTCCCTCTCTCCCCTCCTATAAGGTTAAATTGAGTGGGCCCAACTGGAGTAATAATCATTTGAGCCCCATTGTATTGTTTCATGCTTCACCACTCTGGGGAGGGAAGGAGGCCTGGTTGGGCTGTCAAATGGGAGGCTGGGGGGTGGGGGTGATGGGTAGATTCCCTGGCCATTTCAGCCTACTTCCTCCTCACTGCTCCCCCTCCACAAGGGTACCCACCCCACGAGCCACAAACAGAAAGACCTCATTGGTGCCTGATTTCCGCTCTGACAGGTGCCTGTTGAAAAATGTGCCCTAGGCAGTTAGAGAACCACAGTTATGCAGTAGACCCAGCACAGCTGGGCTTTTCTTTCTGCAGACAGGAAACAATGACTGCCTGAGCTCGAGTGAACCTTCCAGGTCAGTCCCTCTTTTCCCGATGAGGGGCTCAGAAAAGGGAAATGACTCTCCTGCAGTCACACAGAAAACTAGTGGCAAAGCCAGCCTTCTGGATTCCCAGTCTGGCATCTGTTGGCTAAGGGTCAGTCCTCTGTAGGGGAGGGAGTGGAGAGAGAGAGAGAATCTGGGGATGCCAGGGGAATTGGTCCCCCATTCAGGGGTGTAAGGAAGGTGAGAGAGGGTGACTGAGAGTCCCTTCTCTCCTCAAGAGCACACCCTGGAGTCCTGGCTTCAGTTTATGTGACTTTGTACAAGTCACTTCTCCTTTCTCGGCCTCAGTTTCCCCATCTGTAAAATGGAGATAATAGCCCCTACCTAGAAGAGTCCCTGCCCTCAGGGAGCTTACATTCAGGTGTCACCTCCTGAAGTCTTCCCTGAATCTCCCAATTGGGAATGTTCTCTCTCTCTCTCCCAATCTCTCTCTCTTTCAGCTAGGCAATGGGGTTAAGTGACTTGCCCAGGGTCACACAGCTAGTAAGTATCTAGTGTCTGAATCTGGATTTGAACTCAGGTCCTCCTGACTCCAGAGCCAGTGCTCTATCCACTGCACCACCTGGCTGCACTTTGCTTTTCTCTCTCTCTCCCTCCCTCCTTCCCTATCTCCTCTGTCTTACTCTCTCTTTCCCTCTCTCTTTGTCTTTCTCCGCTTCCTTCTTCTCTCTCTCACTCTTTCTCTGTCTCCTCTCTCTGAATCTCTCCCTCCCTCTCTGTCCCTCTCCTCTGTCTGACTCTTCTCCCCTCTCTCCACCTCCCTCTTCTCTCTCTGTCTCTCTCTCTCTGTCTCTCTGATTCCCACCCAGCCTCCCTCCACCCCTCTGTCTCTGTCTGTCTGTCTCTGTCTGTCTCTCTCTTTCATTCTCTCTGTCTGTCTCTCTCTCTCTGTCTCTCTTATTCCCACTCACCCTCCCTCTACCTGTCTCTCTCTCTCACTTTGTCTCTCTTTCTGTCTGTTTCTGTCTCTCTCTGTGTGTCTCTGTCTCTCCTTTCTCTTCCTGTCCTCTGATTAATGTTTTCTCTCTTCTCCAATTAGCTTCTAATTACGCCCATATGCACGTGCTTTAGCCCTCCCAACCCCAAGTAAAACATAAATTTCTTGATGACAAAGGCTGTTTCTTTTTTTTGAAGTCTTATATTTTCAGTACCTAACACAGTGCCTTACACATAATAGACACTTTTAAAATTGTTAAATTGACTTGAATTTGACATTCCAACTCTAATATTTTATGTTCTACAGTGCCTTTCTTTTCTGACCTCTTTCCCAAATTTCCTTGTGATCATTGATCTGTAAGGGACCTTAGAAATCATTTAGTTCTACATACTCATTACAGATAGGAATCTAAGACCTAGAGAAGTGATGTGCCCAAGGTCAAACGGGCAGAGGCAGGATTCAAACTCAGGGCCTCTAGCTTCCAATTTTTTTCCAACTACTTTGGGCTTCCTCACCTCAAAATGTGTTTGCTTCTAAAAGACCCCAAAGGAAGCATGTTCTCCATATGTCTTCCTCAGGGCCTTTTTTTCATTATTTAGACAAAATGGAAAGTTTGGGGATGAAGTCTTTCTTCCCCTTCTTCAAGCTGCCCAAGGTGGGATTCCTTTGGGAAATGGGAAGACAGAAGAATGGTTGGAACCTCCCACAAGTGATCTAGAAAGAATCTGGCCCACACTAATAATAATGCAGGAGGGAAGTGGAACAGGAGGGAATCAGGCCAGCTGAGCCCCCCCAGTCCTTTGGATGAGAGGACGTGTTCTGGGCCTTTGTCTAAAAGGAGCTGCATGGGGGCGCTGGCTTTGGGTCTCCTCACTACATAGCCTTGTCCATCCTCCACAGGCTTCCACTGCACTCTCACCAACCACAAATCCTGCCACCAGCTCATCCCAGATGCTCCATGGACCCTACACCTGGAGCATCCTCATCCTCGCCGGGGTCCTCGCTTACCTCTTTCGGCTGCACTGAGGCCTGGACGAGGCTACAGAGACTGCCAGCCTTGGCCCCTGCTCACCCACTCTTCAGGACCAGCCTCCTCTCCCTGAGGGCCCATTCCTCTTGGCTACCATAGACTTCTTCTCATCGGCACCTCCCTCCCTCCCCAGCTGAGCATCCCATGGCCTCCTCGGGAGCTCTGATGCCCAGCATAGCACCTGTCAGCGAGGGTCATGGATTTATTTCCTTAATACTCCAAGGGTTATAGTGATGAGAGAGCAAAGCACTGACCTGCTTGACTCAATAAAGTTATTAAAGCCCTGAGTGTGTGATCTTCCTGTCATGCCCCTCCCCCTATTCTAGGGACCCCATTAGGCCCGCTCTTCCCACCCAAGCCCAGCACCTTCTTTTTTTTTTCTTTTTTTTTTTTTTTTAGGCAATTGGGGTTAAGTGACTTGCCCAGGGTCACACAGCTAGTAAGTGTCAAGTGTTTGGTCTGAGGCCGGATTTGAACTTAGGTCCTCCTGACTTCAGGGTGGGTGCTCTACCCACTGTGCCACCTAGCTGCCCCCCAGCACCTTCTGATAGCATTTGCAGAGGCACCCCGCCCCTCCCTGCCCCCCCTGCCCCTTTCACAGTTACCCTGCCCACCCTATCCTAGCCATGTCCCTTTCCCAGAACTCACTAGATAGGGGAGAGAAGCAGGCAAGGCAGCTCCAGAGACTATGAGCTCAGCCTCAGCCCCCTCACAGACTCACAGGATTTGAGAGATTATCTAGGCCAGTGTTCTCAGTTTCTTGAGGCCTCGAGACATAAAGAGACTTGCCCAAGGTCACACAATGAGTTAGGGGCAGAGTTAGGAACTTGGAGTTCCTGTGTCTACCCCAAAGTCCTGCCTCAGCCATAAACCTGCACGACCAGAACCCAGCCAAACAGCCATACCCAAAGACAGACGATCGCGGGAGACATCCCAACAGCTGGGGCCTCTGTCCCCTCCCCTCCTCCCACTCAGTCACCCCAGAAGTGTTCAAGGAGGGAAATGGGCGAGAGGGAACTGATACTTTTCTTCACAGTGTAAGCCTTTGGGGAGTAAGGGCCGGGCTCTCCCCTGCCTCCATTCCTGCTTTGGTTACACCCTTGCCTGGTCCTTCTGTCTTTCCTCTCCAATCTGTGCCCCACTTCCAACCCCCCACACACTGACAGGCAGGTTAGGCTCTGGGTCCAGCCTCAGACTTCTGGACCCCTTTTGCCCCAGACTGGCTGGACCCTAGTCTCCCCCAAATAGATTCTGTTCACCCCTCGGCCCCAGGGGTTTCCTGGCTTTATTTCTTAGGACAAGGGCTTGGGCTTCCCAGAGAGGGAGGCAGTCACAGATACCAGTTCCAACAGGGCCCCACCACACCCTCAAGGTTCTTCTCTGGTACTTGGGGGAGGGGACAATTGGTATCCGGTAGAGTCCCCGGCAAGAAGAACGGAGGGATGGATAGAAAGCTTAGAGTCTGTATCTCCTGGCCCACCCCAGCCCCAGGTCCTGGGAGCCCCAAGAAGAATAGAAGCCAATCTCTCTCATTCCCCTTCCATCTTTCTCTCTGCCCCTTCTCTCTCTTCTCTCCTTCCTTCTTCTCTTCCTTTCTTTCCTCCCTTTTCTCTCTCCTCTCTTATCTTCACTTCTCTCATCTCTCTTCTTTCCTCCTTTTCCCCTCTTTTCTCCCTTCGCTAATTCCCTTCTTTCTCTTCCTTTTTCTTTCTTCTCTTCTTTCCTTCTCTTTTCCTGTTCCTTCTCTTTCCCCTCTCTCCTCCCTTTTCCCTTCTTCTTATTTCTATCTTCCCATCTTCCTCTCTTCCCTTCTTTCTTCCTTTTCTCCCATCTCTATTTTCCCTTTCTCCTCTTTTTTCTTTCTTCTTCCCTCTTCTCCTTTCTTTTCCCTTTCCCCTCTCTCCTTTTTTCTGCCTCTCCTCCCTTTCCCTTTCTGCCTCTCTTCCCTTCTTTTCTTCACTCCTTTCTTCTTTTCTTCCTCTTCTCTTTTTCCTCTTTCCTCCCTTTCCCCTCTTTTCTCCCTTCTCTATTTTCCTTCTTTTCTCTCTTCCCTTCTTTCCTCCTTTTCTCCCTTCTCTTCCTTTTCCCCTCTATCCTCCTTTCTCTTCCTTCTTCCCTTTCCCCCTCTCTTCCCTTCTCTTCATTTCTTTCTTCCTATCTTCTTTTCCTGTCTTTCCTCCCTTTATCCTTTTCCTCCTTTTTCCCTCTTTTCTCCTTCTCTATCCTCCTTTCTTTCCCTTTCCTTCTTTCCTCACTTCCCCCCTCCCTTTCCCTTTCTTTCTCTCTTCTCCCTTTTCCCCTCTCCCTGCTTTTCCCTGCCCGCTACTATCACACAAGGTAGCGTGTGCCCTCTAGTGGCTAAAAGGGGTGCCCTTTCTCCTAAGAGAACCCTGCCCCGATCGCAGCAGCAAAAAACCAGCAAAAGGATGGCGGGCAGGAAAAGGGTAAAGGGCAGGGAGAAAATGTAGAATTCCACAAATGAGGAACCTGGCCTGAAGAGAACCCCAAAACCCAGATACAGGGACTCAACAACACAAGGAGAGCCAGGGAGACATTATAAAACATCTTATGGTACAACATCTGTACAAACATCTGGCCCAGTTCAGACGCCCCCCACCCCATCCCACCCCGCTAAGTCCTCCGGAGTGAAGGATCTCAGAGCACCTGGACATCCCAGATCTGAGAAGGTCTGTAGTCAGTCCTGTCCCACAGCACAGCATGGTCCCTATCATAGCCCCGGCCACCTGTAGGGGTACGGGGAGGTGATTCAGTGAGGGGCTGAAGTGCCTTCCCAATCCTTGACCCACAACCTCCAGAGCATGCCCCCTCCCTGACCCCCACCTCACCCTTTACATCCACAATCTTGTCCTCAAACATCTCGCTGCAGATGTGCCCGGAGGTGTCAATGCTCCACGTCTGTCTGGGTTGTCGGCTCTCACTCCAAAGCACCACCTTGGATCCGGGGCTGGGTTGCCCAATCACCTGCAGGCTCATTGTTGGGGCCACCTGGACCCCCAGGAAGCGATTACATCCTTAAGCAACACTCCGAGTCCTAAGAAAGTTTCTGGTGCCGTTCCTAACTGCAGAAGGGCCACCTCCTTCCCAGCCCGGCTCAGAACCCCACTCTTAGCTGATCACACCAGCTCCTCAACAAGGCTAATGTCAGACTATCAGGGTTAAAAGAAACCCCCAGGCCCGGAATGTTATGTTAGGCCTTAGAATACAGCGCAGGAGGGCCGGAAGGAAGCTCTCCCAGAGCTTTAGAGGTTCCTTCTGACACCCCTCACTGGAGTCAGAGCAGCTCAAATCCCTGCTCTGCCTCTAACTGCCAAGTCCAGTCTCTGGGCCCCAGGATCCTCCACTATATGATGAAGAGGCTGGCTTGGTCATCTCTGCAAGGGGCACCTCCTGCCTGAGGCCTCTCTTGGGTTCCTTCCTCCCTGCCTCCCCCCCCCCCCAACATACCCCAGCTACTACAGCCCACCCTCTAAGGCTGCCTTCCATGTCTTCCATACATAGTACATAGGGACCTGCTTATCTCCACGTCATCTCCCCCATAAGGATGCAAACTCCTTGAAAGCTGGACTGTTTTTGTCTTTCTTTGTATGTTGGTCCCTGGAAACAGTAAGCACTTCATAAATGCTTATTGATTCATTGTTTGCCTCCCATGGAGAATGTCCTCTCTCCTGACAGAATGTCAGCTCCTAGAGACCAGGTACTGCCTCCCTTTTGTATTTGCACCCCGCTGTCCCCCTCCCTCTGTGCCTGGTAGAGTCACCAGAACACTATCGTCACTTAATGAATGCTTCTGGCTTGCTCGATTCCCCTAAGAGGTTGTAAACTCTCTAAAGGCAGGGACCGTATCTTAGCTGATTTTCCTATCTGCCCCAGTTCTTACACTGCACAGTGTTCTATAGAATAGATGTTTAAGAAATGTTTGTTAAAAATGGATGAGCAGAGTGTCAGAGCTGGGAGGTCCCTTGGAACATAGAATGTCACAGCTGGGGAGGGACATAAGAACACAGAATGTCAGAGCTGGGAGGGCCCTTAGAACACAGAAGGTCAGAATTGGGAGGGACCATACGTAAAACAGAGACTGTTAGAGCTGGGATAGATCTCCAAGCACTGAAGGTCAGGGCTGGAAGGACCCTTGGAACACAGAATGTCAGAGCTGGGAGGGCCCTTGGAACATAGAGTGTCACAGCTGGGAAGGGACATAAGAACACAGTAGGTCAGAGCTGGGAGGGCCCTTAGAACACAGAATGTCAGAGCTGGGAGGACCCTTGGAACACAGAATGTCAGAGCTGGGAGGGCCCTTAGAGCACAGAAGGTCAGAGCTGGGAGGGCCCTTAGAACACAGAATGTCAGAGCTGGAAAATGCCTTAGAGATGATCTAGTCTAGCACCCTCATTTTACAGGATGCTGAGTTCCAGGGGGGGAGTAACTGACCTAAGTTCACTGATCAGTACAGCAGCACCTTATTTCTTTCCATTATCCCGATCTTGCAAGCTAATGCAGAAGAAATTCTATAGGAGTCTCTCTGCCCGACTGTCCTGGCTCTTTGTCTGATCTCTCTCATTAGTTTGAGCACTTGCTGGGGGAAAGGCCTATGAGACAGTCTTTCTTGCCAGGGGCCCCAGGCATGCCCATCCTCCCTGTCCCTAGCCTCACATACCTGGTTCTTCAGTAGCCCACCTTCATAGTACCAAACACAGCTGCCCCCAGTCCGGGTCTCCGAGACCACAACCCTCCCAGCTTTCATGTCCTCCACGTCCTCGGGCACTGCCAGCCACCTTCCCAGGCCTTTGTTCCGCAGGCAGAAGTAAACTCGGTGCTAAGGAAAGTGGGGAGCAGGGTGAGGAGGAGAGACCTGGGACCTCCCTGGGCACCCCTGTCCTCCTCTTTCACGTTCCTGGAGTTAGCCCCAACCCCAGTTGCACTCCCCCAGCCTGGTCCAAGCCCGTCTCCAACCTCACCTTTGTGAACAGGGTAGGGGCACCATGCACCCACTCTTTTATACAGTGGAACCCATATGAATACACGAATGGGCACCTATACTCATTCATGGGTAGGGGCAAAGATACATGCTGACGTGGATATATAAAGAAGTCACTGAAGAATCCCACACACAGAGTAACAGGCAGACACACAAAAAACTCACACAGAAAACTAGATTCAGTTACATCTGCCCTTGGGCATACCTGCTTGATGGGATAGAGAGAGCCAATCCTCTGGGTCCCGCTGTAGGTCAGCCAGTTGGTAAGCTCGGTGCTTCCCACCAGCCATT